GGAGGTTTCGACCTTTCTCCCAGGACTGTTTTTGCAGCCCTGGCCGTTGTTTCCCAGTCTAGCGGCCCAGTTAAGCGCTTCAGGAAGCCGAAAACGGGTCAAAATCGTGACTCGTTCGCGGCTCGAGGAGATTTGGGGCCAAGCCACGCTTTGCGGATCATCCAAGGCCAAGCAACCAGTGTGGTCGGTGAGCGGTGTGGTCTGGATTCTGGCTTCTGCGTCAATCAATTTCCGATGCGGGCGCCGACTGCACAAGGACATCCCTTCTGCAAGAGCAAACGCAGATGCACAGTCCGACGTCACCTACAGTGTCGAATCGTATCTCACTTTAACGGGCCGCACCGAGTGCCCACCCTTGGATCATCCCGCTACGCGTAAAAAGTGACCCTTTGCCGGAGTGGCCTTTGGTGCGAGCCCGGAGAGGTTTTTCTAGAACTGACCTGCGCGCTTGGATTTGACCCCTCCGCGGCCGTGTAAAGCCACACCACAGGTCTCTCTTGCCCAGGGTTTCGAGGCGGAGATGTATCCATACCACCGCCTGTGGGATCGATCTTCGGGGACCTCGGCCGGCGGTGGAAGTGGACATATTCGGGCCCCAGGGGGCCAACTATATCCATATTCACCGCGGTGGATATGGACATATCCCCGCCTTTTGAGGGTCACGGTCACTCGGTCGATGATCCTCAGGACGTGTGTTAGCCCAAGCGTGTGTGTGTTACCCCGTTCGGCTCCGCTGATAGCGCGCAGCCTGTATTGGCCATCGTCGCGCCGCCTGCGTCTTAGTGAGGGGCCTCGGTGGGCAAGCACACGTTGGCATTAACACACTTTCTGAGGTTCGTGGTTCATCGGCTCCTTGCCTGCAGCCAATCGTCCACTTGTGGCCTAAAGGGGCCCGATGGCCCGCCCCGCCCAGGAACCTGCGGTGGCGCTATCGGGGGCCTGTCACCAATCTATCGGCAATGTATTACCGATTTCAGGTCGATGCTGGGGGACTTCGAGCCTTCTGAGAAGGCTCGCCCCTTCTCACTCCCCCCCAGCACCAATCCTTACGACAAATGTGTAGGGACACGTGTCCCTACACCCCCCGCGTGGGGACACGATTCCCCACGCCTCATCGCACATGTAGGACTCATGCCACCATATCCCCCAGTTGTAGGGACACGGGTCCCTGCACCCTCCCTGTGCACCCCCCCTGTAGGGACACGGGTCCCTACACCCCCCCCCCTGTAGGGACACGGGTCCCTACACCCCCCCACGTAGGGATACTGGTCCTTGCGCCCCGGCATAGGGACACAGATCCCTACACCCCCCTTCGCTCGCCGCTGGTCGAACTCCTAACGCCCTCGAGCTTGGCCCCCAGCCGACGTTGCATCTCCGCGTGCAGCCGAGCCGCGGACGCTTCGGCCGCCCAGGCCTCGGGGCCGCCGCCCGACCGCGCCACCCCCCGTGCGGCGTGCCCTCGGTACTGCCGGGCGGCGAGTGCCACGCCGTGCTGCCGCCCCGCGAGGACGGGCGCATCTCGGGTCGGACGAGACGTGGGGGGGGGGGAATCGGTCGGAGCCAAGGCGCCCAGGGCGGCCTCGAGACAGCCCCAGATGCACCCAAGACGCCCCGAGAGGCCTCCAAGAGGCCTCTCCAAGGAAGCCTCCCGGGGCACAGCTCATCGATTCCCCAGGGGCCAACGCCTGGGAGGCTGATGTGGGGCATCACTCAAGGCAGCGTAAGCATGGACTGCCACGGGCCCCGCTTCCATGCAGAATCGGCGCGCTCCGCCGACAGATCAGGCGGCACCGGCCTCACGTCTCGGGAGGGGTCGGTTGGAGCCGTCTGGGGGCCGCGGTTTGGCAGCGCGCACGGCGGGGTGGCGCGAGGGGGGGCCTTCCGAGAAGGCGGGGAGCTTGTCACAGGGCAGGGTCCCTCTTAGAGGGGCCTGGAGGCTTAAGACGGCTTTCGAGAAGCTCGGAGAGCTTCTGCGAAGGCCCTGGGGCGGGGGATCGGCTGGAACCGGCCAGGGCTGGGCGTCGTGGGGCCTCCTGGGCTGTCTCGTGGTGCCCTTGGGCCGCCGGTGGCCTCTGTAGCCCGTCTTGCGGGTCCCTTGAGGGCCGCGCTGGGGACCCCCCTTCGTGCCTCCGGGGGCCGCCGTAGGGCTCCACTGCCGCGGGCCAACGAGGAGCCGCGCAGGGCTCGGGGGGTGACGTGGGGCGTCCTTGGCTCCAGCCGTCAGCGCGGGGGACGGGCACCACTGGACGCAGGTCTCGTTCCCTGTCCCCGCTGGCCCGCCCGCTCCAGCTGGGCATCGAGTGCATAATCTGCACCCTTTCTCCTCCTGGCTGGCTCTGCTGGTGTCCGTCCAGAGCAGTGTTGGCTCCCATCCAGAGCAGATCCCGCAGCCGCCTCGACCGCATCGGGGCAGGTCCTGAGATTCGGGTGCCGCGATGTTTTCACAGCGGGCGTTTGGTCTGGGGTTCCGGCCGTGAGTTCGACGCATTTTCTCGCGACGTCGGATCCGAGGGGGGGAGGGCGAAGTCTGCTGCGCGCAGCTGGTTTCGGGCCCGCCGCCGCGCTTGTTCCTTCGATTTGTTGGCACCCTCGGGGGGGGGGGGCCCGGATAACCAGTTGAGTGGACTGATTCGCTAACCTTCGGAGGCGACGACGGGCGAATACCCCAGGAGTGGGCGCTACAGTCAAGACGATAAAATGAGGACCCTTTTGGGCTCAGGAGGGGCTCTTGTTTTCGGGGTTTCGTCGAGCCAAGTCAAGGACAAAAACCTAAACGTCGCAGAGGTTCGCCGTTGCCAGAAAAGCCCCTTCGTTCCTTATTGAGGTTTCCTGATGGCAGTCTGATGACTGTAAGCATGTGTGTCCAGGGGTCTCGTCGAGCACGTGTGCGGTCGGATCGACTGGCTACATGTAGTGCCCCCTCCTGGCTATCTGCCCCTGCGCCGCAGGGATTCACGAGACGAACTGCCACTGAAACGCGAGATGTTTAAGCACGTCGCGCAGATATCTTCGTGCGCCCGCACGGGAGCTTGGGAAGATGCCAGCCAGATTTCGAGTGGCTGCACCCCGCAGCCTTATCACCCTGCGGCAGCCGCTGATCCCCCTCTCCCTTGGCACACTGCCCTCCTCTCCCCCCAACGAAAGCACGGATGCGGTTCGAATGCGCGAAAAACGCTTGAAGTTTTCTGACATTCAACAGTGCAGGAAACCGCCAGGCGACCCAGAACAGGGGATCCCCCCCCCGTTGGTCCGACCCGAGCATCGAGAGCGGCGCCTTCCAGCGGCACCTGGCTGCCGTCGCCGCATCGGCGGGCACGGCGTCGGAGGGTGAACCCGCCGAGTAAAACAGCGCGGGCTCGGCGGGAGTTTTCCCCAACCCTCCCTTGGCTGGGATCTCGTTTTGAACAGAGCAGTGGGTTCTCCAGCTACTCCTCCTCCTCGCCCCCCCCGATCTCTTCTCGGCTCTCTCCTTTCGCATCCCTCTTTTCGGGGCCGCGAATTGTGAAACCCTCACCACTTTCGAGGGCTGCTGGGGGAGCCCGCACAGTGGGGCCACGCGCAGACCCGAACGGGACCTCGCCGTCCCTGGGGGGCTGAGACCCGACCGGGACCTCGCCATCCCTGGGGAGCTGCGAATTGTGAAGCTGTCGACACTTTCGAGGGCTGCTGGGGGAGCCCGCACAGAGGGGCCACGTGCAGATCCAAATGGGATCTCGCCATCCCTGGGGAGCTGCGAATTGTGAAGCTGTCGACACTTTCGAGGGCTGCTGGGGGAGCCCGCACAGTGGGGCCCCACGCAGATCCAAATGGGATCTCGCCATCCCTGGGGAGCTGCGAATTGTGAAGCTGTCGACACTTTCGAGGGCTGCTGGGGGAGCCCGCACAGTGGGGCCCCACGCAGATCCAAATGGGATCTCGCCATCCCTGGGGAGCTGCGAATTGTGAAGCTGTCGACACTTTCGAGGGCTGCTGGGGGAGCCCGCACAGTGGGGCCCCACGCAGATCCAAATGGGATCTCGCCATCCCTGGGGAGCTGCGAATTGTGAAGCTGTCGACACTTTCGAGGGCTGCTGGGGGAGCCCGCACAGTGGGGCCCCACGCAGATCCAAATGGGATCTCGCCAACCCTGGGGAGCTGCGAATTGTGAAACTGTCACCACTATCGAGGGCTGCTGGGGGAGCCAGCACAGTGGGGTGCCACGTAGATCCAACGGGGACCTCGCCACCCCTGGGGGGCTGCGACGTGTGAAACTGCCGCCACTTTCGAGGGCTGCTGGGGGAGCCAGCACAATGAGGCCCCACGCAGATCCAAACGGGACCTCTGTTCTGCGAGTCGGCCACGCACACTCCGCACGGTATAGATATCCGCCGTGCATCGTCTCCTGCAGTGTTGCTTTAGCACTATTGTCGGCACACCTTGTATCATCCCTTGGTGCCGATGGGTTGGTTACGTCCCAGGGTAATTTTTGGACTCGGCGTGGGCGTTGCAATAGGCGAGCCGCTGCATCGAGCCCTTGGGCTAACATGAGTCCTGGTCCTGAGAGCCAGGAGGAGAAGGATGAGGACACCGGAAGAGAGGAGGGAAGGAGGAAGGACCAGGAAAAGGAGGGTAAGGAAGGGGAGAAATGGGGGGGGAGGACGAGGAGGAGGAGGAGGAGGAGGAGGAGGAGGAGGAGGAGGAGGAGGAGGAGGAGGAGGGGGAGGAGGAAATGGGTGGTAAGGAGGAAGACGTGGATGGAGCAGCAGGAGGGTGAGACAGAAAGAGGAGAGGACGTGAGAGAGGAGCGATGAGCCTCAAGGAGTGGTGGATCACGCTCTCTCTCATATAGATGTATACATAGGTATGTGTATATGTGTATACACATACACATACATGTGTGTGTGTGTGTTTGTGCGTGCTTGCATGTATGTGTGTGTGTGTGTGTGTGTGCATGCTTTGCTGGATTGCCAGGGGCCTGGCGCGCCGGCGCGCCAGCCCGCCAGCGCTGGGCCCGCGCGCAGGTGCTCATCGGCTGCGCGGTCACTGGGGCCCTCGGCCAGGCCGCTGGGCCCGACGCCGTGGAGTACGGCGGGGGCCTCGCGGGCGAGGACTGGCCGCCGATCGAGGTGGGGCAGGGCGTGGGGAGGTCTTTGCAAGCCGGTGGCGGGAAGGGGTCCTTCAGGGGCAACGTTAGGGGGGGACAGGCTCAGGGAGGGGGGGGCATGCATCGACCCCCTCGATCGCGCATTCATCGCCGAGGGGACCCGATAGCACCACCCGAGGAGGAGGAGGAGGAGGAGCAGGAGCAGGAGCAGCGGGAGGAGGGAGGAGGAGGAGGAGGAGGAGGAGGAGGAGGAGGAGGAGGACGAGGAGGAGGTGGAGGAGGAGGAGGGGGTGTAGCAGAAGGAGGAGGAGGGGGAGGAGGAGGAGCAGGAGGAGGAGCAGGAGAAAGAGGAGGAGGAGGAGGAAGAGGAGGAGGAGGAGGAGAACGGCGACGACCTGACTGCACGGATCCCCCGGCCCCAGGTGGAGAGAGGATTCTGCCTGTCCGTCGGCCTTCTGCGCAAGGCTGGCGCGACGCCCTTCTTCTTGGGCACCGGCACCGGCGGGGAGGGCGACGTGGGCCTGCTCGGCAGGAGCGAGGGTCCGAACCCAGGCCAGTACCCTATTGGGACAGTCCCTCGGGGCTCGTCGACTTTTCTCCAATCGAGTTGAGGGGATCAAGCCAGATGAACAGAGGTACACCTACGCAAGTCGATGTGCTTCCAGGCAGATCGAGGTAACTCCAGAGATATCCATACAAATCTGGAGAGGTCGTGGAAGCTCCAGCGCGAGTTGAGGGACGGCAGAAGGCGTTCAGCCCCCAACGAGAGGGAGGAATCTTATCGACTCGTTTAAAAAAATACGACGTAACGTTTTGATGGAATTCCACGGGCCTCCAGGTGCCAGCACTGGGCCCCCGTGAACGCCGCTCCCTGGGAAGAGCCGAGGTTTCAGGGGGCCCCCGTTGTGATGTCGAAGGTCGGGGGTTAGGGAAAGTACCCACCACCATTGGACAACCATCGAGGCAGAGACAATTGCATAAACATAGCGCGGATTTCTTGGATCCGCGCTGGGCCCCCCTGGCGGCGCCTCTGGCGTCGCCCCTGGCGCGCGGAGCGCCGATCCAAGAACTCCGCGCGGATAGTGGAGAGTTTATGTTTCTGCCGCTTTTTCTTCCTCTAAATCGCATGCCCTTCTTGTGCCCGATCTTGGCCTCCTACTCCTCCTCCTCCTCCTTCCCCCCCCTTCCTCCGCCTCCTCTTCCTCCTCCCCCTCTTCCTCCCCTCCTCCTCCTCCCCTCCCCCTCCTCCTCTCCTCCTCCTCCTCCTCCTCCTCCTCCTCCCTCCTCTTCCCTCCTCCTCCTCCTCGTCCTCCTCCTCCTCCTCCTCCTCCTCCTCCTCCTACCCCCCCTTCTCCTCCCCCTCCTCGTCCTCGTCCCCCTCCTCCTCCTCCTCCTCCTCCTCCTCCTCGTCCTCGTCCTCCTCCTCCCCTCCTCCCCCTCTCCTCCTCCTCGTCCTCGTCCTCCTCCTACTCCTCCTGCTGCTCCTACTCCTCCTGCTGCTCTACTGATCCTCCTCCTCCTCCTCCTCCTCCTCCTCCTCCGCTCCTCCTCCTCCTCCTCCTCCTCCTCCTCCTCCTCCTCCTCCTCCTCCTCCTCCTCCTCCCCCTCCCCCTCCTCCGCCTCCTCCCCCTCCTCTCCCTTCTCCCCCTCCTCCGCTGGGTTCAGGCGCTCATCTCCTCTCTGAGCTCTGCAGCGGCCCCTCACCTCGCTGGCATGTGCCCCCTGCTAGCCAGCTGCCTCGGATCTCGTCTACGGCCGCTGCCCAATCGTCTATGGCCCAGGAGGCACACCAGAAGGGCAACAAGCACGCAGACTCCGTGTCTACCTCTTGCTCCTCTGCACGATGTCCGTTTCGAGGAGGAGGAGGAGGAAGAGGAGGAGAGTAAACCTGGGATGCATCACCGATGCTGCAATGCACCCTCCTGTCCCGAGCCCCCTCCTCATAAGACCCTGCAGGCATTCATTTTCACTACGGGAATGGCTCGCCTTGAAAGACGAGCGCCCCATGAGCCTGCCATGCGTGCGGCACCCCAGTTCTGCATATGGGACCGCCTCCATCCTTCTAGCTAGATGGTGCGCAGAGATGTGCGACCAAAAAGGTGACAGGCGGCTGGCTTATGCACATTGTGCCACACACTGGGCCTGATGGTTCATGTTTTGCTAGGGATATTACGATCCTGAACAAAGCGCCATCTTGAGTGAACAACTGTCTGCCCTCAATCTGCGTCGTTTATTTGTTGCGCGTGCTCGAGTTTCTGTTCGTACAGACTTCTGGGGTTCCCAAGCGATAACCGCATGTTTAATGGGAACCGCCAATTTGTCCGTGCAGCTGTTGAGACTTTTGACGGCGAACGTGCGAGGCGTTCAGGCATGAGTTACACGGGAAACGGGCCGTAGCCTTTGACTCTGTTTCAAGACGATAGTGTGCGGCGCTAGGACGAGAGTCACAGTTTTGAACTATCAAGCTTTGTGGTCATGAGTGGTGATGGAGTCCCAGGCGCAACGCCCAGACCGCCCTCTCGACGCGTCAGGTGTTGCGAAGAGGATGAAGCGTTTATGTATACGGAGGGGAATTGGAGGAGGAGGAGGAGGCGTCCTAGCGTCGCCTGGCTCGTCATGGTCGGCTACAATTCGTGCGCGCGGCTCTTCAGCATCGCCGCCGTCTCGCTCATCATCGGTGGGTGCTCGTGCCACAGACCGCACCTGCAGGAGGAGTAGGAAGAGGCGATGAAGACGGCTCTTCCGCTTTCTTCGCCCGTCCCCCCCGCCGAGGATGAAGGCGGCGGGCGACGTGCGGTCGGTTCTTCTGCTGGCGGACCCTTTCGCCGAGGTGGACGAACTTCTCAGGATCTCCTTCCAGTTAGCAGGGCGGTGCAGCCAGACTCAGTGAGGGGAGTTTGGGCAATGGGGACTCCAGACCTCGAGGAGGAAGATCGAGCATCGAGGATCAAGTTCAGTGGATGCTTTTTGGCCTTCTGGGCCTCGGAGAGCGCCACCGTGGCCACGGCTGGATTCCCTTCCAAGTTTTGGTCGGTACGCGCCCAAGGAAAGGTCTTTGGGGGGGGGGAGGGGGGTCGGCTTTGACGGAGGAGGTCCCTTACTTCCAACGTGACAAGAGAAAGCGAGGTAGTAGCTGTTTCTCTAGTCTGGGTCTTTTGAGAGGCCGTTTCGGGCCCCTGGGCTGACAAAGAACGACCCAGGACGAAGTCCGTCATGGGGTGCGAACGCGACGACGAGAGGTCTTGGGGCCGATGTGATTATACATATAACGCCGCACCGGGCCCGGGGGCACCGGGGCAGCAGCCTCGACCACAAGTAGGGGGACGTCGGGCCCAGCCCGCTCCCTGGCGGGCCCCAGGTCGGCCCCCGGAGCGCCCAGACGGCCGTCCAGGCGGCCCCAGGCCGCCCACAGCCACCCTGAAGACAACCTCCAGCGGTCTCCGGCGGCTCAAGAGGCGTCTCGAACCGCCCCAGACGCCTCCAAGACGTCCATCTGTCCGACTCCGGCTCCGACTCGTCTTCTGAGGGGCCCCGGCCCCCCCGCGCTGCCCTCATAGGGCCGGTCCCGCTGGACCGACATCGCGCGCTCGCCTCGCTCGCCCCAGACGGCCCCGGGAAGCAAAAATAGCCCCGTTCCCTGCGTAAAACGTACGCTTTTACCATATTCGGTTTTTTGGCCTTCGTACCGTCCTTTACGACCTCCGACTCCCCATAGACGGGACCGAGACGGCCCACGAAGCCCACAAGAGAGCCCCAAGACGGCCCCAGAGGGGCCCGGGACAGTCCAAGAGGCGCCCAGGACGGCCCAAACGCGTCCCCGAAGGGCTCCAAGAGGGGCCCAAGACGGGACACCCAACTGAACCTTCCAGCCCCCCGGCCCCAGGAGGCCCCCAAGAGGCCCTTAAGAGACTCCCAAGGGGCCCCAAGATGCCCCCAAGACGCCCGCGGCAGGCCCCAAAGGGCCTCCAGAGGCCCCCCAAGAGGCTTCCAAGAGGCCCCCCGAGGTTCCCAGGAAGCCCCCAGGAGACCCCCAAGAGGGCCCCAACGGGCTTCTGAGAGGCTTCCCCAGAAACCTTCATGTACGTCTACATGCGGCCTCCGGTCCAAAAGCCTGAGACCGTTCTTGGGACGCCGCTGGGGCCGCGGGGCTCCAACAGCCAATTGAGGAAGCACGGAGAACCCCCCAAAAGCCCTTCAGATGCCCCCACGAAGACCCAAGAGGTTCCCAAGAGGCCCTCAGGAGCCACGACTATGTCACGCGCCTGTGCTTGATAGCGCTGTCCAAGATCTTCTAGCGCGCCCCCGGCCTGGGCTAGAACCTGAGCGCGCGCGAAGCGCGCGCGATGGTTCTAGTAATCATGTATTCATATTGTACTAGTGATAATGATGTATTACGTCGGATGTTTGGGACATGGCTGGGGAAGAAGCCCTTCTCTCCTCTCTCCCGCTCTCTATTCCCTTCCCTCGCCAGCCCGCCCCCACCCTCCTCACATGATGCTGACAGCGATTCTGCTGCTGCTGATGATGATGATGGTGATGGTGATGGTGTCGGTGCTGATGATGACCATGCTGATAACCATGACGATACTGATGCTGATGATGGCGATGCGGCTGATGATGATACTGATGCTGATGGTGATCGTGATTGCGATGATGATGAGGATGATGATGATGATGATGATGATGATGATGATGATGATGCTGACGTTGATGATTATGATGATGATGACGATGATGACGATGATGATGCTTATGATGATGGTGCTGATGATGATGCTGATGACGATGATGACGGTGATAATGCTGATACTGATGCTGATGCTGATAATGCTGATGCTGATGATGCTGATGATGCTGCTGCTGATGATGATGATGATGATGATGATGTGGATGGCGATGAGGATGGTGATGGTGATGTTGATGGTGATGATGCTGATGATTATGATGATGCTGATCATGATCATGATGGTGATTGCGATGATGATGCTGATGATCATGGTGATGATGGTGGTGGTGGTGGTCGTGTTGATGGTGATGATGATGGTGATACTGATGATGCTGATGCTGATGCTGATGATGCTGATGATGCTGATGACCATGATGATGTGGATGATGATGAGGATGGTGATGGTGATGGCGATGGTGATGATGATGCTGATGATGACGATGATGCTGATTCTGATGATGATGATGGTGATGATGGTGATGGTGATTGCGATGATGATGCTGATGATCATGGTGATGATGATGGTGGTTTTGGTCGTGATGATGATGGTGATGGTGACGGTGATGGCGAGGATGATGCTGATTACGATGATTACGATGATGGTGCAGATGATGCAGATGATGCTGCTGCTGCGGATGATGATGATGATGATGATGATGACGACGATGATGATAACAATGATGATGCTGCTGATGATGATGATCATTCTGCTGCTACTGATGGTGATGGTTTTGAGGATGATGCTGCTATCGGTGATGAGGACGCCGCGGCTGATGAGTATGACGATGAGGATTACGCTGATCGCGACGACCCTGATGAGGATGCTGCTGCTGCTGGTGATGCTGAGGCGGATGACGATGACGACGAAGGCGATGACGATGACGATGACCACGACCATGATGATAATGATGATGATGATGATGATGATGATGATGATGATGATGATGATGATGATGATGATGATGATGATGGTGATGGTGATGGTGATGGTGTCGGTGTCGGTGATAGCGATGCTTCTGTTGCCGACGATAATAACGATGCCGTTGTCGATGATGATGCTGATGTTGATGCTGATGATACTGTGGCTGATGATGATGATGCTGACGCTGATATCGCTGGCGGTGATGATCTGATGCTGCTGTGGCTGATGATGATGCTGCTGCTGTCGATGATGCCGTCGATCACGATGGCGATGCTGATGACGACGATGATGACGCTGTTGGTGGTCATAGTGTTGGTGATTACCACGACGATACGAACTATGATGCCGCCGATGCTGATGATGCTGATAAGGTTGCGGATGATTGTGATGATGTGGATGATGTCATGATGATGTTGTCGTTGTCGATGGCAGTCATGACACCTGCGCTGATCATGCTGATGATGGCTGACAGGGGAGGCAGATGATCAGGAGGACGAGGACGATGATGGTGATGATGCTGATGATGATGATGATGATGCTCATGCTGATGCTGATGCTGCTGATGATGATGATGATCATATTTTTGTTGATGATGGTGGTGTTGTTGATGATGATGAGGATGATGATGCTGATGCTGCTGATGATGACGATGACGACTATGAGGATGCTTGTGATGAAACTTCAGCTGCTGCTGCTGACGATGATGATGGTGATGGTGATGGTGATTCTGACGATAATGATGATGCAAATGATGTTGCTGATGCCGATGACGATGCTGATGATGACGATGATGATGCTGATGATGCTGATGATGATACTGATGCTGTTGCGGGTTGCAATACTAATGGTGCTGGTGATTATGATGATGATGCTGATGCTGCTGATGATGATGATGGTGATGATGATGCTAATGATGACGATGATGCTGACGATGATGATGATGAGGATGAGGATGATTGTGATGATGATGATGCTGATGATGATGATGATGATGATGATGATGATGATGGTGATGATTATGCTGATGCTGCTGATGATGATGCCGACGATGATGATGATGATGATGATGATGATGCTGATTATGTTTATGATGATGATGGTGACGATGATGACGATGCTGATGATATTTATGATGATGATCCTGATGATGATGTTGATATTGATGCTGATGATGCTGATGATGATGATGCTGATTATGATGCTGATTATGATGATAATGATGATGCTGATGCTGATGCTGATGATGATGATGCTTTTGATGATGATGACGCTGATGATCATGCTGCTGTTGATGATGATGCTGATGCTGAAGCTGATGCTGCTGCTGCTGATGATGATGCTGACGCTGATGATGATTCAGATGATGATGATGATGATGATGATGATGATGATGATGATGATCATGATGATGATGATGATGATGATCATGATGATGATGATGATGATGATGATGATGATGATGATGATGATGATGATGCTGATGCTGCTGCTGCTGATGAGGATGATGGTGATGCTGCTGCTGCTGCTGCTGCTGATGATGATGATGATGATGATGATGATGATGATGATGATGATGCTGATGCTGCTGAGCCTGGGGAGCAGGAGCTGGACGATACGATTGAAGCAGAGCATGGGGACGAGGAGCATGATGATGTGGCGGAGGGGATGAATTGGGGAAAAGGTCACGACGAGGACAGGAAGGAGGGAGGTACGTAAAGAGGTGGATGATGAGGGCAACGATAAATGAGACAAGCATGTGGTGGATGTGGGTAAGGAGTCGGACGGGAATGGGGGAGGGAAAGGAGGAGGAGGAGGAGGAGGAGGAGGAGGTGGAGGAGGAGATGCACGAGGAGGAGGAGGAGGAGGAGGATGAGGATGAGGATGATGATGAGGAGGAGGAAGAAGAGGAGGAGGAGGAGGACTCAGCGGTCAGTTGTCGTCGTATTCCTTCCTCGTCCTTGTCCCATCCCGACAAGGACCCTTGGCGACTACTTCCCAGGCGCGACGAAGGCTGGTGGGCTTTCCACCGCCCTCCAGGTGTGGTGGGGGGACGGCCAAACGCCTACCCATACCCCCACAGTAGCGCATCTTTTCGGAGCCCTCATCTATTATGTAGCCACAACGGGGGCGTTTGGGTATCGCTGCCCATCTTGCTTCCTCCTCCATCCCTCGATCTCCTCCGCTCCCTCCTCCTTCAATTCTCCGTCCTCGTCCTCCTCCCTTCTCCCTCCTTCCTCCTTGTCCTCGTCCGTGTCCTCGTCCTCCTTCTCCTCTTGAGCCTGGGACCAGCCAACTGAAGGTCTGGCAAACCAGTACGATGTAGCCTGAGCCAGGTTCCGCTCGATTTTGGCAGGGCCCTGAGCAGGAGGAGGAGGAGGAGGAGGAGGAGGAGGAGGAGGAGGAGGAGAAGGTGGATGACTCGGGACTCCATGCGGACTCGGGGCTCCCCGCGGACTCCGGACCCCCAGGGTCGAGCTGCAGGAGGAGGAGGAGAAGGAGGAGGAGGAGGAGGAGGTGGAGGAGGAGGAGGAGGAGGGGGAGGAGTATGAGGATGAGATGGAGGAGGAGGGAGTGCCGGGGGCCACCCAGGTGCAGCGCGCACCCGGGGAGATGGCTGGCTTCATGCCGTCGATCGCCATTGCCACGGAGGGGAACTCAGCTCGCATGTGTAACCAAGGCGCGGTCGGCCTCCTCCTGACAGAGGCGCTGGTCGGGTGGAAGCAACACCTGCGATTCTCACAAAGCTGTCCACGGGAGGACGAGGAGGTGGAGGTAGATTCGGGGAAACATAAGACTCGAGTACTCTGGAACTCGGGTTTGCCAGCGCCTTTTGCCGAGCGCGTCATGGATTTTGAATCCAGTTTTCGTGGGATGTTTGCAGCGGGAGTTTCCGTCAAATTTCAGACTGGGTCTCGTCATTTTCATGATGGCCCCGTCAGGCCAACCCGAGTCCCACGAATCCGCGTCTTACGTCTTTCTGGTAGATGGAGGGGTGGGAGAGGGAAGGGCGACAAGATCCGTCTGTTTCCTTTCCCCCCCCTCCCTTCCCCCCCTTCCCCCCCTCCCTCTTCCCTCTCTCCCCTTCCTCCCTCCAGCGAGCAGGTTTCGAAGCAGACCTCCCAGTTCCTGGAGGTCCACTGGGTGTGTAGGGCGGGACACCGCGTCCCACTGCGTGGGGAGATGAGGAGGTAGAGGTACATGAAAGAGAGGGAGAGGGAGGCGGGGGACCTGGAGTGGGGGGTCAACGTGTCCCCCTCGGACGAGTCAGCGGGCCCCACGCACGTCAACCCTCCCTCCCATGGCACAATAGTCAACGCTATAACAACCGATGCTGGCGCAGCTGGACACTGGGACTGGCGCGCGCCCCCACCTAGAAATCGAACGGCGCCCGCTCGCACGCAGTCCCGTTTCCGACGACATGTCAGAAGAAAGCATACGCTGCGCCTGCACGGGAGCGCAACTGTAGGGGGTCATCGAGGACGTGGAACGAAAACGACATTCCGCTCGCTCGCGCACGAACCAGCTTCCTATCGGATCGCCCATCGGGAAGGGTGCGCCACGCGGGAATGCAACTTTCAGGAACACCTGGGCGGCGCTTAGGCCAGAGCGGCATACCGCTCTCTCGGCCTCGGTCCCGTGTCCTGGAAAGGCAACCGTACCGATGATGCGCCGCCTTTGGGAGCCCGTCAGCGTGCTACTGCTTCGTTTTTTTGTCCGACGGCCTCGTGCTTCTTCAGCAGTGCCACGCTGATGCGTTCCCCACGGCGGCATGTCATGGATATTGGTTTTGCCGCCCCAGTTTCCCGCGACCTGGCGGGCACATCATGCGTTTCCTGGGCTGGCCACTCGGACCGCCTCGGGCCCTGAGGCAAGGAGGCGAGAACGCAGAACGCTGGCCCTCTTGGCGGCGCGTGGGAGGGTGACGGGCGCGGCCTCCTCATCGCAGGAGGGCGAGCTTGCGGGGGCATCCCCGACGGGACCGCGGCTCTCCGGGAAGGCCCCGCCCCAGGGCGCTGTCTTATTGGGGCGCGGGCCCTTCCTCGAGGGCCGCCCCCGCCCGGGCCCCGCCCCCGGACCCGAGCAGCACGCGGATCCCCCCGGGCCCCCCGCGCCCCCGGCCCCGTTCTTCGGGCCCGCGCCCCCGCTCCAGGGGCAGCCGGGCACCGCCGCGCGCAGAGCTCCCCAGACGGGGGGGGGGGCGGCGGTCTGCGGCGAGGGCACGGCCGTCGCGGCCTGGGGCCCGGGCACGCTTCGCGGCCTGGCCTCGCCCCCCCCGCGTGCTCACGAGGGCCGTGTGCCGACAGGTCCGGGCTCGGCGCAGCAGGGGCGACTCTTCCTGCTCGCCTCCAGATGCTCTGGTCGACCCCTGCAGGGCCACGGTGGGAGCCCCCGAACCGCCACGGGGGTGGCCTGTGCGCGCAGGAGCGGGGGCGCGGAGGCGGTGGCGCCTCGCGCCAGGCGGCCTGGACTGGAGCGGTCCCTCCGTCTGCGTTTTCGTCTGGCAGGACTGCCCCGCGGAGTGGGCCGCGCGCTCCCTCCCCCCCTCCCCTCGGACAGCTCCGGCTAACTCGTTGGTCCCTTTTTCCGCTCCTTTGTCCTCTGTCTTGTGGCGCTCATGATGCTCCTCTGATGCTTCTCCTTGCCCCGACCCCCTTCTTCTCCCTCCCAGACCCCCGACGTCCTGCTTGTTCCGCGGCTTGGACCCCTGGAGGTCCCGACCCTTCCCCCTGGGACCAGTTCCTCATCCCGTGCCGTTTCCTCGACGGCACCTGGGCCCGGCACGCCATCTTTGGAGCCGCAGCACTCCGAGCCATAACCCCTCGAGGCCGAGAGATGTCGAAGCCCCTCCGCTGTGCTGTTGTCACGGCGCGAGGGGGCTCTGGGACGAGAAGGTCCTTCGGCTGCAGCAGGAGGTGTGGCCTTTGAGAGAGCCGCCGCGAGGTGGCCGTGCACACCGTGGTCTGCCAGGGCTGCTGCGGCGTCGGCCCCAAAGTGAACGTCACCGGCGTGCAGGGGCCGGTCCTAGGGCTCCAAATTGACGACAGCAGGATCGCTGGAGGGAGGGAGGGAGGGAGGGGTCGGCAAGAGGAGGATGGAGAGGGCGACAGATGCTGCTGCTGCTGCTGCTGTTGCTGTTGCTGTTGCTGTTTCTGTTGCTGTTGCTGTTGCTGTTGTTGTTGTTGTTGTTGTTGTTGTTGTTGTTGTTGTTGTTGTTGTTGTTGTTGTTGTTGTTGTTTTTGTTGTTGTTGTTGTTGTTGTTGTGGTTGTGGTTGTGGTTGTGGTTGTTGTTGTTGTTGTTGTTGTTGTTGTTGTTGTTGTTGTTGTTGTTGTTGTTGTTGTTGTTGTTGTTGTTGTTGTTGTTGTTGTTGACTGATAGTTACTAAACACTTATTATTGTTGGACCCCTTACAGGCGCCCTGGCTCTCTCGCCGAGGCGCCGGCTACATATTCATTGAAAATGAAGCTCACGCTCGAGCGGTTTGGGGGACCGCCAAAACCGGCCCCCAAACAACAACAACGCTCCCGCTCGAGACTTTTTCCTTTTTTGCTCAGGGCTGGTGTTCTTGCTCGCCGCCGAAAGCCGCCGTCCTAACAAAACCAGCGCTCCCGCTCGAGACTTCCTCCTGTTTTACCTTGGACTGGCGCGCTAGTCTTTCTCTCATCGGCGCCGTCCCCAGCAAAAACAAAGCTCCCGCTCGAGGCGTCCTCCCTTTTTTACTCAAGGCGGTGCTCCTCCTCGCCGCCGAAAGCCGGCGCCCAACAAAACCAGCGCTCCCGCCCGAGACGTCCTTCCGTTTTACGCTGGGCTGGCGCCCTACTCTCTTTTGAATTGGCGCCGCTCCCAGCAAGAACAACGCTCCCACTCGAGGCTTCCTCCCTTTTTCCTCGGGACGGTGCTGTTCCTCGCCGCCGACAACCCCCGTCCCGACAAAACCACGGCTCCCGCTCGATGCTTCCTCCCTTCTGACTCAAGGCGGTGTTCCTCCTCGCCGCCGAAAACCGGCGCCCCAACAAAACCAGCGTTCCCGCCCGAGACTTCCTTCTGTTTAAAGCTGGACTGGCGCCCTACTCTCTTTTGAATTGGCGTCGCTCCCTGCAAGAACAACGCTCCCGCTGGAGATTTTCTTTCTTTTTCCTCGGGACGGTGCTGTTCCTCGCCGCCGACAACCCCCGTCCCGACAAAACCACGGCTCCCGCTCGATGTTTCTTCCTTTCTTACTCAAGGCGGTGTTCCTCCTCGCCGCCAAAAGCCGCCGTCCCAACAAAACCAGCGTTCCCGCTCGAGACTTCGTTTTGTTTTACGCTGGACTAGCGCCCTACTCTCTTCAGCATTGGCGCCGCTCCCAGCAACAACAGCAGCCCTGCTCGAGACTTCTTCCCTTTCTATTCAGGGCCTGGTCCTTGCCTCACTGCTGACAGCCCCCATCCCCACTAAGGCAATCCTGTCGTTCGATACTTCCTTGTGCTTTACCCTTCGCTGGGGTTCCACTGGCGGTCTCGCATCGGCGCAGCAAGGCGCGGGCATGTGTTTTCGAGGCGGGATATGTTGAAATTCCTCGGAGGAGGTGTTTGCAAGACCTCATTGGGCGGGAGATCTGGGAATGGGAATAACGGACCCCGCTATAGAACAAGAGTCCCCCATGATGTGGATGGTTATTATGATGGTCGCATGCTTCGTGTGGAAACATCGCACATGAGGGTAAACTGATTGTTGAATTTTTATTTCTGAAGAATAATTGTTGTTGATCCCCCCCACCGGTGCATACTGTTTTTTCTTGATCAAAGTGTGCCCCTCGACGCTCGCACCCTGTTTTTTGGCAGGGAAAGTCTTCCTGCTCAAACTGGGCCCTTGGCCCCCGGGTTACAACAACAACGGCTCCCGCCTGAGACTTCCTTACAATTCAGCCAGGACCCCCGCTCCCGCCCGAGACTAGACTTCCTCGCATTTTATTCAGGAATCGCGCTCTCGCTTGGGACTTCCTTACAATTTATTCAGGAATCGCTCTCCCGGCGCTCTGGAGTCGCGCTCTCGCTGGAGACTTGCTTGCAACTTACTGAAAAATGGCCTTGCGCTGGAATTTCTTGCAATTTGCCCAAGCGCCGCGCTCCCGACACCCAGGCACCCAGGAGTCGCGCCTGTTGTGGCCCCATGTGCATGCCCTTCGTGGCCCCGCTGTCGCCATTTGTGTCCCCCTCACTGTCCTACGTAGCCCAGTTGCTACCCTCAGTGGCCCCATAGTTGCCTTCTGTGGCTCCGCATTATCTGTACTTCGTTGCCCCCGCTCGTTCGCGCTCTTCGTGGCCCCATTCTCTTCGTGTCCCCGCTATCGCCCTTCGTGGCCTACTTCGTGCCCTTCGTGGCCCTGCTGTCGTTCTCTCTCTCTCGCTCTCGCTTTCGCTCGTCGTCGCCGTCGTCGTCGTCGTCGTCGTCTTCGACGTCGTCGACGTCGTCGTCGTCGTCGTCGTCGTCGTCGTCGTCGTCGTCGTGGTCGGTCCCCTGTTCGTCCCTCTTGGGGTCGGGTCGACGGTCCGCGGTCGCCCCGCCGATCAGCGCTGCCGCTGGCCAGGCCGGCGGTCCGCGGCCGCCCCGCCGTTTGCCGGGGCCCGGCCTGCAGGGAAGAAAGGTATACCCCCCAAAAGGAGTTCGATCGAAGACGAAGAGGGCGGGTATCGAGGGTTGGGGAAATACGCGTTATTGGACACTCGAGCATATAAGGGCGAACAGTCTTAAAATTGTTGTTGTTGTTGTTGTTGTTGTTGTTGTTGTTGTTGTTGTTGTTGTTGTTGTTGTTGTTGTTGTTGTTGTTGTTGTTGTTGTTGTTGAACATTATTTAATTCTAAAGAATAATTATTGTTGGGCCCCCTGGTGCACGCCCCCCCTGCGCCGCCTAGGCCGCAGCTACATTTTCATCATTTTCGTGAGGAAGCCTCAGGTAAACGATGTGATCAAGATCCGGTTGTTTTGTTGTAATCCGTTTTCCCTTGCAAAAAACACTATAAAATGACATTTCTTGTTCTAATATAATCAAATTTCAAGAATCCCTTGCAAAAAATAAGGTAAAGTGGACATTCGCGCGCGCAAGACGAAATCCTTCCAAAAGCTTAGTGTTCGGAGCGATTTTAACATAAAAACATCAAAAAACCAATGGTTTTTCAACAAAAAAATGTCAAAATCTCATCCCGCGCGCTCTTGCGGATTCGTAGGAAACCCAACACTTTTTAAACATTTCTGTCAAACGGGCTTTTGCGAGCAACTTTTTCGAACTTCTGCGACAACGGTTGCGCACCTGCCAGGGCCATCATCCCTGTCAAATAATACCATGCGGGACACATTCGTTTTTTGCGCGCGCACGCCGAAATCTCCAAAAACCATTGGGTCCTCGAAAAACACCTGCACGTCTTCCCTTGCGAGTACGTATCATGTGTATCATGTGTATCATGTACCATATGCATCATATGCAACAGATGTTCTGTGGAAGGCTTAACAACTTCTGTGGGTTAACAAGGCTTAACAACTTCTGTGGGTGTACGAACGTAGGCTTAACAACTTCTGTGGGTGTGTACTCCACGCCAGTGTAGTAGCCACGGTCGTCCGCAGGCCACGAAGTGAAGTGTCCGAACGTCATAGGGCGGGAAGCTGGGTGTGGGTGGTGGCGAAGAGTCGTGTGGATATTTGGTAGAGCTTGCACTGCCCCCCCACAAAGTGGGGGTATTGGCTGGCGTCGCATGAAAACCCTGGCACTGGTGAGAACACTGAGCGTTCGGGTAAAGTGATTGTTGTTGTTGTTGTTGTTGTTGTTGTTGTTGTTGTTGAACTCTCATTTCGGGATAATTATTGTTGATCCCCCCCGTCCAGTGCACATTGTTTTTTCGATTGAAGTGCCCTTCCCGGGGCTCGCACCTTGTTTTTTATCAGGGAAAGTCTTGAAGGTCAAACTGTGTCGTTGGCCCCCGGTTTACAACAAGGGCTCCCGCCTGAGACTTCCTCGCATTTTATTCAGGAATCACGCGCTCGCTTGGGACCTTCTTACAATTTATTCAGGAATTGCTCTCCCGGTGCTCTGGAGTCGCGCTCTCGCTGGAGACTTGCATGCAATTTACTATAGAATAGCGCCCTTGCGTTGGACTTTCTTGCAATTTATTCAAGCGCCGCGCTCCCGACACTCAGGCACCCAGGAGTCGCGCTCACGCTTAGGATTCCTTCACAGATTACCTAAGAATCGGGATCTCCTTGCCCTTCGTGGCCCCGTTGCAGCCCTTCGTGGCCCCCTCGCTTCGTTTCGTGGCCCCGTTGCAGCCCTTCGTGGCCCCCTCGCTGCCCTTCGTGGCCCCGTTGCAGCCCCTCGCTGCCTTTCGTGGCCCCATTGCAGCCCTTCGTGGCCCCCTCGCTTTGTTTCGTGGCCCCGTTGCAGCCCTTCGTGGCCCCTTCGCTGCCCTTTCGTGGTCCCTTTGCAGCCCTTCGTGGCCCCGTTGCAGCCCTTCGTGGCCCCGTTGCAGCCCTTCGTGGCCCCGTTGCAGCCCTTCGTGGCCCCGTCGCTGCCTTTCGTGGCCCCGTCTATGTATGCCCTTCGTGGCCCCCGCTCGTTCGCGCCCGTGGTTGCCCCATATGCATGCCCTTGGTGGCCCCGCTGTCGCCCTTCGTGGCCCTTTCGCTGCCTTTCGTGGCCCCGTTGCTGCCCTCAGTGGCCCCGTTCTTGCCCTCCGCGGCCCAATATACGTATGCACTTCGTGGCCCCCGCTCGTTCGCGCCGGTTTTGGCCCCATGTGCATGCCCTTCGTGGCCCCGCTGTCGCCGTGTGTGGCCCCCTCACTGTCCTACGTGGCCCAGTTGCTACCTTCAGTGGCCCCATCGTTGCCTTCTGTGGCCCCGCATTATCTGCCTTTCGTGGCCCCCGCTCGTTCGCGCTCTTCGTGGCCCCATACGCATTCTCTTCGTGTCCCCGCTGTCGCCCTTCGTGGCCTACTTCGTGTCCTTCGTGGCCCTGCTGTCGTTCTCTCTCGCTCTCGCTTTCGCTCGTCGTCGTCGTCGCCGTCGTCGTCGTCGTCGTCGTCGCCGTCGTCGTCGACGTCGTCGTCGTCCTCGTCGTCCTCGTCGTGGTTGGCCCCCTGTTCGCCCCTTCTGGGGGATCGGGTCGACGGTCCGCGGCCGCCCCGCCGATCAGCTGTGCTGTGTGTGTGTGTGTGTGTGTGTGTGTGTGTGTGTGTGTGTGTGTGTGTGTGTGTGTGTGTGTGTGTGTGTGTGTGTGTGTGTGTGTGTGTGTGTGTGTGTGTGTGTGTGTGTGTGTGTTTGTGTGTGTGTGTTTGTGTGTGTGTGTGTGTGCGTTTGGGTGTCTGTGTGTGTGTGTGTGAGTGTGTGTGTGTATGTGTGTGTTGCAACATCGCTGATGCCCCTCTTTTTTCTTCTGATTTTTTTTTCGTTCGCCAAAGCCCCACCGAAGCCTTCGCAGAGCCTGCCCCCAGGTGTGCGACGGCATCGGCGGCCGCCCAGCCAGGGAGGCGCTGCAGCTCATCTTCTCGAACGTGGACCCCCAGACTCGGGAGACGCGCCGGCTAGCCGTCGGTGCGTCTTGCCGCTCGCTGCCAGGGAGGACGTGGAATTGAAGGACGTCAAGGAGGGGGAAAGCATGTACGGTGCGGATGATGAAAAGAGAGAGATGAGAGAGAGAGAGAGAGAGAAGGAGGAGAGGGGATGATTTGTGGTGGTGGTGCTTGTGTCGGGAGAACACGATGATTGCGGCGACGATGATGTGGCTGGTGTTGTTGCTGGTATTGGTGTTGTCGGTGATGGTGATGTTGTTGATGATGGGATTGATGCTGATGATGATAGTAATAATGATATTGTTATTGTTGTTGTGGATGCTGATGCTGATGCTGATGCTGATGCTGATGCTGATGCTGATGCTGATGTGATGTGATGCGATGTGAAGTGATGTGAAGTGATTTGATGTGATGTTGTTGATGATGATGGGGATGATGAGGGTGATAATGGTAATGATTGCGCTGTCTGGCGAACGGAATGGTGATGATGAGGGCGAGGAGGTCGGGAACGAGGAGGGAACGGAGTGCCGACGCGCGGCGAGGGCTCGGGTTTTGCGTTGTTGTGAGCGTTCCCTCGAAACCATGCACTGGCCAACAAGCACGCGTGTGACACGCGCTGCTCAGATACCACGGGCGGAGGGAGGGTGGAGGAGGAACACAGCGCTCCAGCGTCACGAAGAGATCACGTCGGATCGGCTTATATAATCGCTTCGCTCAGTCCGCCGGCCCATATTGCCTCGCCGCTGTCGTGTGTCGGGGTGTTGTTGTCAATGCAGTGCGGTTGGGCGGTTGCCATTTTTCGGAGGCGGTGGGTGGCGGGTCAGAGGCCTCACGGATGTTGGTTGGGTTGAGTTCTCGTGGTTGGCCTCTCAGGGGCCTGAGGCAGTTTTGAGGCCTCTTGGGGGCCGTGTTGGTGCCTTTTGGGGTCCTCTTGGGGGCCTCTTTGGGGCTTCTTGGGATGCCTCTTGGAGCCCCCTTGGGGCCTCTTGGGGGCCTCTTGGAATCCCTTGGGGGCCTCTGGGGGCAAAAGGCTGGACTTTTCGGTTCCTGGTCCCCTTCTTGGGCCCCTCTTGGGGCCGTTTTGGGGCTCTCTTGGGCCGTCTTGGTCGCCTCTTGGGCTCTCTTGGAGGCTTCGTGGGCCGTCTTGGGGCGGTCTTGGAAGCCTCTTGGGCCGTCTTGGAGCGCCGGTAAGCCGAAAAGGCGGGATCGCCCAAAACCGTTAGAAATCGAAGGAAAATCACAAATTTCTGCCTCTGTGGGCCCTCTTGGGTGGTCTCTTGGAGGCCTGTTGGGGCATCTTGACGGCGCTTTGGGCTGTCTGGAGGCAATCTTTGGCGTTTTGGACGCTCTTGGACCGTCTCGGACCATGTTGAGCTCTCTTGGAGGCCACTTGAAGCGCTCCTAGAGCGCTCTTGGGAGCCTGGTGGGACCTGGCCGGGACCTGCCCAGGACCTGGCCGGGACCTGCCCGGGATCTTGCTGGGACCTTGCTGGGACTTGCGGGGGTATTTTTCGTCCACTGGCGGCTCCGCGCGCGCGAACTAGAAGTACTGTTACCCTTGGCCCGTTGGGCCGGCGAATTTGTGTTTTGGGCGTCCTGGGGCTGTCTTGGGGCCGCGGGTCCGTCGTACAGCGGTGCGCGACGAGAAGCGGATCCAAGGGGTGCCCACATCCCAATTAGTAAAATCCACGACGTCGGATTTTTGGAGAAAGGGAATGGAGGAGCCCAGCCAGAGCCCTGCTCTGATCAGGACGGCAGGGGTTTCTGGATGCCTGTTGCCGCCCGTGGGATCCAAACATATTGCACCTTGAGTGGCAGAATATCCTAACTACTTTCTTAGAGTATTAAAGAGAGTACCAGACGAGCCGTATTAACACTTTACAGTGCTATTGCGTTGCTGATGCCATAATATGCTACAGTATGCAGTGCCAGACTATATCGTAGTGTGTAGGCTATAGTTTACGGTGCTATGTTATATTCCAGACGCTTCGCGTAACCCCACCAGCGGGTGAGGAGAAGACGTCGCACGCGGATGACCCCCTTGGGCCGCATCGGCCGTGGGCAGTCCCTTCACGAAGGGGGTTCGTTTCACCGCAGTGACAGGCCCCGGCCTTAATACACGTGCTACCTCCTGGGAGTGAGGTGCACACTCTCACTGCGCTTTGACCCCCACGGTACTCCGTGGGCTCTTAGCCCGTGCGGCCTGGCTGCAATAACCTTGCCCACGGCTCACTTTGGCCTTGTTCACAGGGACACGTGCCCGTGTCGCCCGCTGGGGCGCTCACTTTGGATGGCTGGGGCGGCAGGCCGAAGGCCCCCCCCATGCGCTGCACACTCCCGACGTCCGACGGCCTTGCCCTTGTGACGTTTCCCCCCCGCGAGACGACGCCTCACGCCAACGACACACCGACTTCACGTGTTGGGTCCTCGATTGGCGGCGTTACCACCTGGCTCCTCCTCTCCATCTATTCAAATGTTCTGCGGCTATCGGCTGCGCCTCCTCTCCTCCCCTCTTGTCGCCCTCGACGACTGCTGAGGGGTGCCGACGACGTGCAGTGTGGCTCTGGCCTAGTACCTTTGGGTCACCTCCTGGGGATGAGGTGCTTCCCTCTCAACACTGCGTACTGGTGCTGTGCTCGCCTGGGATGGCGGGGGCTTTCGGCCATAGGCCCACCCCATACGTTCCACTTGACGCCTTCTGGAGGCTGGTGCTCTTGCCCAGTGGCTGCTCTTCCACGTGACAGCGCCGGCTGGGTCCTCGGCCACCACCTTCGATGGTTCTAGTAATTATGGCATACTCCTGCACAAGTGGTTTATCTTTGGCAGGTTCGGCCTTTCCACGACTTGGCCGTTCTGCTATTCGGCGCCGTCGCCCTGGAGTACGACTTCCTGTTCATGTGGTACATCTTGTGGCAGTTCCGTGCCCTTGGCCGACGTATCCCCCCCGGCGTTGCCGACCTTTGCTTCTTCCTCTGGGAGAGGCTCCCGCTCGCTGTCGCCATCGACATCCTGCCCTTCTGTGCTGTCAGGTGGTGCACTCCTACCTGCAGTTCCCCCCCTGGCGGGACGCTGGGTACTGGTGGTGTGACGTGGTTGGCGCGACGTGCATCCTTGTAATTTAGGATGGCGGCTGCCCCTCAGGATTCACGAAGTGTCCACCTTTGATTGGACTAGAGTCGGCTCGCCGGCGAGCACCTGGTGCTCCGTGAGTGAGGCAATCTGCTTTTCCCCTTCCCCTTCGTCCCTCCGTCGCCTCGCCTGTGTCCGTTTCCTGGTGCTGGCGCAACGTCGCCACGCGCGGCTGACCATCGGCTGGCGCTCTGCTTCTCTTGGCTTGTTGCCTGTCTGCCCGTTTTCTCTAATTTGTTCTGCATGTTGCGCGAATTTCTCTGGCTCTGCGCCCCAGTCAGCCTGATTGGCACGCCCTCTGGACTCTTCCTTGCGGGCCGCAGATCAAAAAGTAACCCCACCAGCGCTGACATTCCCATTCAGAACACCGCTGACGACAGGACTGGTTCCTCGCGCGGACACAGGGACCAGTGGAGTTACGACAGGTCGTCAGACCGCTGGGCCACGCAGTCTCGTGACGACGCCTGGCGTTACCAGAACGTGCGCACGGGAAACGACGGGATATTAAATCGTGGCACATGGGTATCCTTCTCCAAGAACCCACTAACCATCCACGAGCCCAAGAAGAACGACGGGACCAATGTGTACAAGGCACCACTGCGCACATCGACTCACAATACCCTGGGGAGTCCGACAGCGCCTTCGTTTCCAGGATGCAGAGGGAACTAGGCAGCATGTTCAGCGACCTGTGGGTTGCACGCTGTGCCGAGACCTGCCCCACTAACGCCCAGTCGACTTTCAACCCAGCATTGCAGCCGCCAGGCGTGTGCCGAAATTTCCCCCCACGCGTGGGGCACTGCAGACTACGGCGCGCGCCGCGCCGACCAGATCATGCGCGCCGGGGCCAACTTTCGCAGCCCAACTGACAGGCTCACGTCAGTCAGGAACGCCTCCAACTCAGGCGTTGCCAGCAGCAGCGGCGCCGCCGCCTCCAGGTTCCACGCAGCGGGGGAGCGCCCGAGCAAGGGGAAAGGCGTGGCAAAGGACGGACCCGATTCACTGGGCAAGGCTGGGAAGAGGAACCGAGCAACCGAGAGCCCATGGAGTTCATGGCACGAGAAACGGTATCGTCAGTAACGCCGAGTGTGGGGCACCACCCAGTTTCGCTGAGATGCGGCTCTGACATCGCACCGGGTATGTGGTGCACCTAGCAACGCCGCGCGCCTACACTGCTAACCCTCTTTCTTATGCATGCGGCGGTCAGCCGCGTTCCCCTACTCTCCTTCTCTTTCTGCCTCCTGCGCAGTCACCGCTCGGCGCGGCTTCAGTCTGGCAGCCCGCCGTGATTGTCCCTGCCAAGCGTCCGATTGAAGAGCGCCCGGGATTAAGTAGTGTGTTGCTAACCAAGAAAGCATGCCTTGCCCACACCCGCTGGCGCATATGGGACGGTGTGCTAGCCCAGTGGAAGACCTCATCATCGTAATTGCACGCTACTTCGCGGCTGTAAGAGTCCAGCTTTACCCAGGACTTCGTACGGGGGACAACGGCAAGTTGGTGCCAGTGGCTGGTTTACTGCGGTAAGCTTCGATACAGATCGCCTGGCGTGCGCGTCAGTATACGCAGGGTTATGGTGAGCTCTCCTCCTTCTTCTCCGTTTGCTTCCGCGGTTAGCTGACTCTCCCTCTCCGGTTTCACTGGGGCGTTCCCTCGCGGCTGGGGTTGCCGCCAATGCCGCTGTCGGATGGTGCTCCGTCAGTTTTGTTCTCGCGCAAAGTATTGCACTGGGAGTGGGCGGTGAGGTGCCCACCGGCTGCCTCAGGCTGGCGCCGCCCCCCTGCTGATGGCCAAAGAAGGGTTCAGTGAGCTTCCGATGTTCGTATCTCTTTTCTTCTCCCTTCCTCTCCTTCCGCGTGTGTGCCTGGCGTGCACTT